TAAATCTAGATGGATCGATAGTGAAGGCATTGTACGAGGTATTGAGATGCTTCCTGAACATTATTCAGGAACAAATTCATGATCTCTTAAAGGATAGTACTCTCTCTCTCTCTCTCTCTCTCTCTTTCTCTCTCTCAATGCTCTTTACTATCTCTAACAGATAGGCTATACATGCATCCTTAGAAGATAGAGAAAGAGAGAGGAAGAGAGAGAGGAAGAGACAGAGGAAGAGAGAAAGGAAGAGAGAAAGGAAGAGAGAAAGAAAAAAAAAGAGCGAAAGGGAGAGAGAAAGAGAGAAAAAGGAAGGGAGAAAGGGACAGCTCATTTTCTCGTAGACACAACTATTTCAAAAAAATAAGCTATCCTTGGAAAAGAAAGAAAAAACTGGGTCTAGATCTAGATAAGAAATGATTGCTATTGAAGGCTCTATGGGGCACAGATGATTTTAGTACTTCTAACGGCAATGCATTTCAGGGGAAAACGTTCTGACGACCATTATGAATTGTTTGTCACACAGTGCACAGAACGTTTGGACTAACAAACTGTAAACAATCTTATAAAAACTCACTAAAAACGTGCACTTAAAGGCAGTAATTCCCTATTTCAGACTTGTGCAAACTCCATGAAACTTGTACAGCCATATGTTCTCAAACTTCTTTGTAAGAAATGAAAATCTAGCGCTGTTTTCACTCAGGATGGGCTGACCATTTCACGTTCATGTACAGAGCGATAAACTATAGACTTTACTGTTTTATTCACAAATATAATGCATCTTTTTCACTCCAAACCAATTCCTAGCCCAATCAAGCAATAACAACATAATCAGGCGAATCTTAACTGCAGATTGACACAGAAATGCGCTCTCCCCATCTTCTAGAAGTCCATTTTGATAGCTATAACGCGAACGTGGCTTTACAACGGAAGATCTATACCCCATCTAAATTGTGATCACGAAGAGATCTCATGAGGCCAATTTGAAGACAGTGGCGAGTGGATTTCAATGAGGGTTTAGATTTATGTGTTCATTGATGCCCTGATATGACTACCGTTTGAGCAGGGCATCAGGCCTAATAAGATTCTACAGCCCTCCCCTGGATTATTCTTGAGCCCGTATTCTGTAGACAATATCGTGCCGCCTATAAGATCTGGGGTAGCCCTGCGTTAAGCTTATGGTGTATTGAGAATACAGTAATCAGAGGGTGAACCCAAGCTGAGCGTGGATTCTACATTAACTGAGCATCAAATGGTTTTATGATTTAATGAAGACTACACACAAAAAAGACCCAAGTGGTTATGTTTAATACACATTACATTTAAAAATAGGTTAATAATAAGTGAAATATCACATTAATGGAAAAATAAAGTAAGATTTCATTCATATTTTCATTACAATGAAATTGTTTTTTTTTATCTTGAATGTACCTTGTGATAGTTTTGACAAACACTGTGAAACACCATGAAAACAAAGGGATACAAATAATGGCAGCCTGCAAGTTACCATACACTATTTACTTGCTTCCCTTAAATTCAAAGAAATCTCAAAGATTGATTGATTCTAAGAAATATGACTTGAAACCATGAAAAGTTCAAATCTAATATAATCCATTCAAGAGATATGAATACCCTTGACGTGAGGGTATTAAGACATCCCATTCCTGTTTAGTCCTGAGAATGCATTTAGGATGTGAACATTTTCTAATGTGTTACCTTTTCTGCTGAATAAATAGCAAAAGTGCAGGGGCACGTTTTCTAAGAAAACTGTCATACATCTCACGTTCACAGACAACCCATTAAAATTAGAGGTTAAAATCCCTCGAATGTTATGTACAATGTATGCAAACTTTGACTTAGGGCTGTTACTCGAAACCGGCCCCATTAAGTAACCTACAGATGCTCATGGGTTATTGCCCTAGAAGTCGAAATATATTCCATCAAGGTTCCCTGCCCTCTATATACACTTCACCGAGGCTTGTATTCAGGATTTACAGAAGCTAGAAAGGTTTAGAGTTGAACATAAAGCAAGAAATCCTCCCCAAAGTCAACACCAGATCACATAACAAGGGAAACCAAAGCCAGCAACAGAGAGGAACTTCAAAGAAAATGGCAAAAAATCGGAGACCGGCCCCGGCTAGTGTTGCATCCCTACGACGTGATGGGAATATTCGCGCCCCTTTTTATCTCTTTTGTACCACGTGACGCGGCCGCAGGCAAGTCCGCTCAGAGCTGGAGAGGCCGAGCCCGTATATATCATGTCAACCTCCCCTCTTCATCACTTTAAAGGGGTAGCGTGACGACTGCTGTTGTTGTTTTTGGTCAAGCTCTATTTTCGTATTCGATCGTTTTGATATGGTAACTTCACTCTGTACTGGGCGGCTAAGTAGTTTTGCCTGCAGCAGCTGTAGGTCAATTCACAGCATGCTCAATATTCATTAAAAGAGTGTATTATAATTAAGTCACCAATACTACAATTAAAAAAATGATAGTGTCTTTAAAGATGCTTGTAAAATCTATAAATGTCGTCTTTTCCTTTGAAATTGTAAAATAATATAATAATGTATATATTATTTTGCATACAATGTAAATGAAAATGTTAAGGCAATGTTGTTATTCAGAAAAATAGCTTAAAATCGAAAATTTGCACCATCTTAACGATGACTTCTTCTTACATTTACTATAATTGAAAGATTTTTTTTGTATGATTACTAATCATGAAAATGATTCTTTAAAAGAAAATCTTCTTTATTTACAAATCCATTACTGAGCATTAAGAGGGTAAAATAAATACCATGAGAACCCTTTTACCAACTTATAATAGCTCTGTCCTGTCAATGGACATAATTAGTTTCTCATTTTAAAAGTCATATTTAAGTAGACTCCTCTTCAATGTTGACTATCAATATTGGCTGAAGGCCTAACGTTTGAATAAATATCATCTGTTAAGAGCCAGAAAGTGTTATCCATGTTGAATGACAGGAGTGAATGCCCTTTTGGCTCTGCAACAGACAGTTGTTATCATGATGTCACCTGTTTGGAGCCAGAAGGGAGTTAACTCAAATACATTTTTTATACACAGAGTGAATGCCCTTTTTTCTCTCAACGGACAGTTAGTATCATGTGATCACATTTTTAGAGCCAAATGGATTTTAGCTCAAATGCGTTTACATATATTAAAAGCCCTTCTGGTTCTGAACAGTTACTATAATGTCATCACCAGCTTAAAGCAAGAAAGGTGTTAACTCAAATACGTTTACACACTGAAAGCCCCTCTTGCCCTCAACAGTCGACATGACTCGGTCTTTGGGCCACGCATGCAGCAGACACCATTTTTGTGCTGTTTAGTCTGGATAGAATGCAAACACATGCTGATATTGACATTTAACCAAACCTGTTCGGACTGATATTATGACAAACTGTTCGTTGAGGGCTCCACGCAGAGAAGCCTAATTAACTCATTATAGATGCCACCTGTTCGATTATTAGTACACTGTTGGTTGGATGAAAAGGCTATCTGAAATGGACATTTCTTGCATCTTAATAGACTTAAAAACAAGATCTCCACAAAGCAACATAATGATTGCTTTTTGTAGAAGTATACTATGTGTGCATTTATACTGTTGGTGAGATGTTATGGCTATCTGTAATGAACATTTCTTGGATCTTAAGACTTAAAAACAAGATCTCTACAAAACAACATATCTATTGCTTCTGTAGAAGCATACTACATTATTTTTGCATTTATAAGTTGTTGGTTGGATGAAAAGGGTATCTGAAACAGACATTACCGGAACTTGGATCTCAAGACTTGAAACAAGATTTCCTCATAACAACGTATCCATTGCTTCTGTAGAAGCATACTTCTTTATTTGTGCATTCATACTGCTGGCGGGACAAAAAGACTGTCCGAAACTGATACTTCTTGGATCTTACAGCTTATAAACAACATTTCCAGAAAACAACACATCCATATTTTCTGTAGATGTAAGCTACATTATTGGCGAGACAAAAAGGCTACCTCAAAGAAACATCTCCTGGAATTTACGGCTTATCAAAAATAAATCCACAAACCAACAACACATCCATTACTTCTGAAGATGTAAACTATATTTTGGCAGGTTAACGATTATCAATTTCAGTAGTTGATTGGTTAAGAGAGTACATAATTTGAAAAATAATCTAGCTGCTGCAGTAACAAAAACAATGAAGGGAAAAGTAGGACATCTGAGAAGCAATAACTTATCAATTACCAGTCTAACTCAAAGAATTCCAGGGGGAATTTCCCTTTTTGAAAATCAATATTGAAAAAAATATGAGCCATCCATCACAAATGATCACAAATAAATTACGGTCCCAGTATGATCTATGGTGTTGAGCCTAGGCATAGATACATTTATACTATCTCTAACATTATGGAATTCTCTTCTTTGCCAAAATTAATGACAATCTATTTGAAGAAAGATTTCCATCCTCTGCTCTGCTATGGTTACGTTGAGAATGAAATGTTAGTTCTGTGATTAGTGTTTATTTAATCATAAATAGATTACTCCAATACCGGTAAGCAATTTCATCTCAACTTGATTTGCTTTTTGTGATCAAATCATTGTATGCTATCTAATATAATTGATGAACATGAAATTCCATTCAACAATGAATTACAAATTATGTCTTGTAATCACATTTTCCTGTACCCTATGGACTGGAAGAGCATACTATTCTTGGCTTTTACAAGATGATATAGTGCTTTTAAATTTTAGATGCAGAACCCTAGTGAAGGAAAATCATCTTTCTCAAAAAGATGATGATGATGATGATGATGGTGATGATGGTGATGGTGGTTATAATGATGAGGATGAATGTGATGATGAATGTTGTAAACCATCTAGAGACTCCTAATTGCGATCCTGGTTAATTAATTACATTTTTACAATTTTTTATTTCCAGTTTTCTTTACGGATGACTGATTTTTCTTATACAACTGAAGATATGGCGTATATATATTCAGTACTGAATGAAACCCATAAAACTACTACCAACAACAACAACGACGATGATGAAAATGGTGATAATGGTGACATCAAAAGTGATTGATCCTTACCTCACTGGACTGTTTAATCCCTCGGAGGGGTACCAGAGCGGTACCCAAGAGGGTATCCCAGATCAGTCCTTTAGTCCATAGCTCAACAACCAATCCAACATTCAGCTGATTTGTCTCGCTGAAATGAAAAGAAAAAAAATCATCTGTGAATTGATCTGGCGTTAAATGGATTACTAGAAGGCTATATATCACATTTTCATTATGTAACATATGGCTAGTGAATCTGAAATATAGAAATATTGCAATAACACTGTGTGTACACAACAGGTGGCGGGTCATTATCTATACTAACGTGCTAGAAATCTTCAAAGTTCATAAATTCTGTTCTACTGTATAGCTAGTGTACATAGTATTTACATAGTGTAACATTCACAAAGTGAAGACAACGTTTTGGTAGCAAAATTTTTTTTTGAAAATTCCAAGAAATATGTACCATGATGAGTTAACATTTTCTTTTACCACGAACCTTTGGAAATCTCAAGTTTTATTGGTGCCAGATTTTCTGGTTTAGACAGTATATGACTGGCAACCATTTCTCAGCTTTTCATATATCAATCCTTGAATAAATATGCTCTAGTAATAGAAATAACAATGAAGTTATCTGCAGATCAGCAGTGCCATGGGGATGGAATATAAGACTGACAAGCAATTCAAAGCTCTAGAAAACTAAAAAAAAGAAACGGTCACTCATGCAAAGATTTCACTTTCCTTCACAATTCAGAAAAGAGCTCTTGTGAGCAAACAAGATATTTCTAAACTCAATTTTAGGTACCGGTACTATTTTGTATACTATCGAAGATGTGAAATGTTCTTTCATATCCATCTTGAAACTCAAGAATCCGTATAAAATCCATGATAGGTCTCCATGGAAACCAAATCAATAATACTATAGGAATCTGACATTGAAATGGCATTTACTTGGAAAAATAAACCTACTTTGGCAAAAAGAGCTTCATATGATTCTGTGCCAATGCTTCTTTTAAAGGACCATTTCATGAACAAATTTTAAAAAATGCAATTTTCTCCTGAAAGCTTGGCAAATTATGCCTGCCATAGCAACAGCTGAGGTTAAGAGTATGCATTCTGTCTTGCATTATTACATCACAAGGCACTTTGAGAAGAAAAATCATTAGTTGTTTTTTTCATTCATATGTGAAATGTTCTAATTGCCAGTTGCCATCATTTTAGAAATATGAAGATACAAAAAAGGAGAAATAAACGCTAACCAATGGGAAGGAAATAGATGCTTTAAATATAACTCTAAGGACAGTGTATCAGATGAATAAACAGCAGTTTTCTATTCAATAAATAATCATAAAGCAATCGCACAGCAAGTCTGAATGACCCATCCCTTGCTTCTGAAAGGTCATCCTAGTCTCCTTCGATCTATGCAGCTGTTTGATTGATTTTTCATTTTCCAATGTTAACGTAGGACCGGCCATCCATGCTCAAAAATTCAATATTGGGTGAGAGGGATCTAAGAATATCTGCTCAGCAGAGAAGAGTATATAGATAGGCACTGCAGGTAGGCAGGCTACAGGAGCAACGGTAGGATTGACACTGCAACCTTTTCATGATTAACGGAAGTAAGAAACTGCTGATCAAACTGGAAAAAATGAGAATGAATGATTTTTCATTTTCTAATATTAACGTAGGACCGGCCTATCCATGTTCACAAATCAAATATTGATTGAGTGAGGGGGATCGATAAAATGTAGAGCAATACACTGTAGGCTAAGGCAGCAACAATATGGTTGTCACCTCAACCTTTTCATATTATTTTAAACCAGAAGTGAGAAACTGTCACTCAAACATCAGGAATATATACTGATAATATGATCCACATATTTACTACTGTGCTTGAGATACATGTCTGGATACATGTCTAGATACACACAAAATGCTTTTAAAACTAAAAACAAAATCATCATGAAGATTACTTTGTTCTGAAATTGATTTTATTTCATCTTCTTTCTTTTTTCACTTATTGAAACCATAGATTTTATTTTATTTTATTTTGTTTATTCTTGAAGAGTATGAAAGCTTCAGCCCCCTTCTGTTTTGAATATGTCCCTTTAATTATACTTTGAAACGTGCAGTTACCTCCATCACCCATTCACTCTGAGAACATATCATGTTTCCCACAATCCAGTGCGCATAGATTTAGGTCCCCAAGCCAAACATCCAATTAGAAATTGAAATGGAATCGATTTAAAGAGGACCCGTTGTTTTTAGTCACAGCTCCATTTTGAAGTCTGTATCATATGTCCATCTGCAATTCATTACTATCAAATGCATTCCTCTGGAGGTTTCAGTTACAATTGACTTTCAAGGGAGAATAAAACAGGCAAAAAAGACAAATATAGCACAAAGTTTTCTCTTATTTTAAAAGGGGATCGATATGTGTATATAGAAATACAATACAGTTTACTTCCTTGTTTAATGAGTACTTGTGAAAGTGCAAAAGCGGGAATTGGTATTTAAAAATATATTTTTGAAAGACATCACTCAATACAACCACAACTTTCTACTATATGTATATAGCTTGGTGGGTTTCATTTTTCCTTTTTTCCCCTTTTACCAGAGCTCTTTACCAGATCTATTTTAGAGCTTAAAAAAGAGATAAGCTGCCCATTTTATTTCATCTCATTTTCACATACTCTCCATTTTTCATATCCGATGTCTCAAATGTAATTTAAATTATGGAAGTAATGAAATACATATTACATTCCTATCTCTTGATTTTCTCTCTTATACTCACATTTTCTTGACACCTTTCTTTTTGTTCAAAATAAGTTCTCTCTTTACCGAGATGAAAATGACATTCTAAAACCAAGGTTATTTTCCCCTTTTTCACCAGATGCTTTTACATCTCGGTATCTCATTATCTTCCCTGCTGCTCACCTGTGCACCAGTATTACTACTCAATAATGACCATTCACAACTCATGCTGATGTATACAACCCATTATCTCCATCCCTTTTCTCATCCACATTGCTATTTATATTTCTTATTTTGTCCCATTAGACACATTCTGGGCAGAAACTAATATTTCTCTTTCATATTTTCGTATCTCTGACTTTAAGGATATCTGTAGGCGTAAAAGAAATGTAAGGCCATCAAAGGCTAGTGAAGAGGGAAAGCTCGTTATGTGTTTTTTACAATTCATCTGGAAAGGTAAAAGTAGATTAAGCATATCTATACTCAGACTTTTGAAATGCAGTTTATTAGATATCCTAGTTTGTGCATAAAACACAGCCAGTTATCAGATCTACTTTTTAAAACCTCCTACTCATCAGCATCATATATTCTTAAAACTAGCGATCACTTTTAATTGAGTGGCCAAGTCTAGCCTCTTTCTATCTTATTTCTTACTACACTTCATCTTACTTAAAATAAACAAAATAATCACACCATGAAGCATTTTTAATAAATCTTTCATAAACAAAAGGATTTTTCAGGTAATAGGAAATTACCTGTACATCCAATATCCATGAACTATGTACATGTACACATAAAACAACAGAAACAATGTCTTTGAAAACATCTAATAACACGTAAACGTGAAGTCTCCTCTTGAAAGAAGCACTTTTTTTAAATACAAAAGATGGTAATCGGGGGGAAATTGGAGACATGGTAACAATGAAAGTGCACTCAGACAGGCAGACGTGGGAAGGAATCACAAAGCGTGTTTACGGAAACCAGACCTTGAGAGTCCTAGATAACGGATGACACGTGTGGACGGGTCATTGTGCATGACTTGGAATAAGAGCAGAAAGTTGATGAATAATGGAGTAGTCTGGGTGGAGGAGGAAAATTGCTTGATAACAAGAAAAAATTAATATTGATTTTTGTTATGATCACACCGTTTGTTATGATCACATGGTGTTTGCTCAAGAAGATAGGTTGGCTGGATCGTTAGAGGGTTGATAAGCAATGTCAAGGATAGACAGCAAACAAAGAAGGGGAAAAGAGCAACGGAGAATGAGAATCGGTCCAAGAAAGAAGAGAAAAGAAGGAATAAGAAGAATGTGAGACAAATTTTCATATTGAAATATAAGGAACCAAAAAGAATATTACAGTCAAACCTGCTTTAGTGACCACCTGTCTACAAAGACCACATTTCTTGTTTCTCATGAAAAAGTTTTCTCATTGAAACATGTACTAAAGGAACCTGTCTACAAAAACCACTTTTTGTGTTTCCCGTGGGCGGTTGCTATAACTGTAAACATTAAATTAACATGGATAATGTGAAGAGTTGGAAATGTGAAATCACAGGATTTTAAGGAAATAAAGGAATAAAAAGCAAGCAAACAAATTGTTGATGATAACATAGAATGAGAAACCGTAAAAGAGAAGGGAAAAGAAATAACTATACAAGAAAGAATCTAGAAAATATATAATAATAATAATAATAATAGTGAACATTTATATACAGGTGCATAGGGCAATTCTCGCTACCCCAAATAGCGATTCTGCCGAGATCCGGGGAAAATCCTGAAAACGCGCATTGCATTATGGGATAGCTTTTCGACATTACAGCTTCCTGTGCAGGCGGCGCGATAGCGCAAACGTAAAACGCCGTCGCCACACAACGTGTATGCACCGAATATGTCGTCTGCTCGGTCTTGTTTTTTTTTTCGCAAATATTTCAACGTTTATTTGAACATTTCATTCGTTGTTTTTTGCGTCTTTTGACATCAGTGACGATGGTTTTCTTTTGTGAGGCTGCACAGTGCTGGGCTCATGATTCCAAGCGTAAGAACCCTGAAAAATGGGGGTGGATGAAGGCCGTGACTTGGGATGGGACTCTATACCGGAAGTTGTAGTGACGACCCGAGAGAGTGAAAATTACCTCGTCTCGCGAATTTCGAGATTTTCGTACCTATTTAGGGTAGCGAGAATTGATTGTAATAACATAAAAGTTCCTCTGCAATATAAGCTTCTCATTCATGAATTGAATGACCTAAACATGTTGCTGAATGGGATTATTAATTAATTGATTGATTGATCTCATTTACCAACACGTTGAAATTCCACAATGACATCATTCATGGTCACACAAATCATAAACCCAATGCATTAGTACAGAAGGATTGTTTATTTTGCTATTTAATT